CACTCGCCCATCGCCGCCGCCGCCGCCTCCGGCCCCAGCCGCCCGGGCCCCGCACGGCTCCCGCCGCCGCCCGCACGCCCCGGCTCCGCTGCCCGGCCCCAGCCGCCCCCCCGCGCTCACAGCCGGGCTCTCCGCCGCACCGGGGCGGAGCCGCCCACACGCCGTTCCTGAGCCTGCAGCGACACCGTGTGCTGCTCCGCCGCCTCACACGATCCCATCACACAGCGCCAGCGCCTCCGCACCGTCAGACGCACCTCCTGTACAGGCTTTTCCACTGACCTTCTCTCTCTTTTTATTCTTTGGGCTTTTTAATTTGCTTTAGTCCTTCTGGTAGTTCGCAGCACGTCCTGCGCCAGAGGGACCAGAACTGAAGACAAACAGGCCGGATCTACAAACTGTAATTATGTGGCACCCGCGCCCGAGTGTTCTGTAGTCTAGACAGAGGCTGTTGGGGTTCAGCTCCGCTCAGTCAACTGTGATGAGGTCAGTGCGTATTGCTCAGCTCCTCTGCAAAGAGGTTTTTTCTCCTCCTTCTCATCTTCCATTTTTTATTCCCTCCTTGTGTCATTCCTTCATAGCTCCTTATTTCTGGGGGTTTTTTTCTCTTCTCTCTTTCATTCTTTTTCTCTCTTTGTTTCTCGCTCTCCTCCCTTTCTGTATACAGTGGCAGCATCTGTGACATGCCAGTAAACTCGTTTATAGTTTTCCCCTTTCTTTCTCTTTTTCTGCTTCTTCCTTCCTTCTTCATAATTGCATACACATTGCTTCCTTCTTTATTTTCTTCTGCTATGTATTCATCTATCTTTTTCTCTCCTTTCTGTTTCCTCCTTCTCTTTTTCACTCTCTTGTCCGCTTTAGTTTTTTTCCCCCTTCTCTCTCTATTCTTGATTCCTTTGTTCCCTTTATCCCTTAACAAAATATTTTGCAAACTTCTACACAATGCTCGCACTGAAAGATGGAAATGCTCTTTGGCAAGAGCTCTCCCTCCTATTTCTTGCAACATTTCTTTCCTTTACAGCTGTTTTTTGTTTGTTTGTTTTTTGGAACTTTTCTTTGGGCTTCCTTTTTTTTTTTTTTCCCTGCTACTCCTATCTCCTTCCTTTCTCTCTTCATTCTTTATTTCTTGTTTCTCAGAGCCCTGTCTTTGCCTCCCCTTCTCTTCTGTTTCTATCTTTGCATCTTGATTTTCTTCTATAATAAAATTATTAAAAAACAGCTACACCACTGTCGACACAAAGCAATGGACATTGCCTTTGGTGAAAGCTCTCATTTCCCTTCCCTTCCACCATCCACCTCTCTGGGCTGGGAACAGCCTTCCTGCTTTCCTCTCAGCCACTGAAACTTCCCCTTCCTTCAGCAGGAAGGCAAAAACCCTTCAGCCTCCAGTCCTCTCAAGGACATGGAAAATAACACAACAATCATATGTCAGAAATAAAATCTCTGGTACATCAGAAAGGAATCCACCACCCTCTGAAACCACCTCAAGCCCCAGATATTGGGATGTCTAAAAAATCTGGTTCCAAACCACCCAGGGGAGTCTCTCATTTGGGAACTCAAATCCCTCATAATCCAGCACACCGATGCTCCAAGAATACTGCAAAGGTCAACTACAGCTCCCAGGAATTCTTCCTATATCTCGATGAAAGTGGTTCTTCCTGACTCATTTCCACCTGCAGGCTGAAAGTCAAGTTCTCACATCTTCTTTCAGCCAGGCACGGGCTGCCACAACACCACAGCAAGAACTTTGGGACCAGGGGCACCAATGCCCACATAATACCTCTCACTCATGAGCATGATCCACCTGGCATACAAACAAATTAAACACACCACGGTAACACCACAGTAATGTCACTGAAAACATCTGCTCTGTGTCCAACACATCTACTCCAAGAAATGCATTAAGGTCCCTCTTCCATCTATTCTTGCCTCCACCAGGCAGGCAAGGAATGAGAGCAAGTAGAGGTGCTCAAAGTAATGAAGATAGCACAGCTGAACAGCAGACAAAGCACATCTGACTCTCACACACAGCCTCTTCATGTAAGAACAACTTACCTGCAGCATCACTTGTTGCTTCTTCAGGAACAGACACATTCGTAAGACAGAGTTGGATTCAACAAACTTTAACTCATTCTTGAACATTACCAGCAATTCTGGGGGATGTTTGACAGAAAAAAATTAGTGACTTTTTCCAAATCCTCTGAAAATGCTGGGCAGTGTGTATTGCTGCCTTCTCTACTTCTCTCCCAGGGGCAGCAGGAGGGACACCTGAGAGCTGGTGACATTCTCTCAATAGCAATGTCAGCTGAGGAGAGTTGAAAAAACTTCCCTGAGACTGAGGGGAATATTAGGCTAAAATCTGCCACCTACAGCTGCCAAAATTCCACCATCCACTGTTACCAACACATTGCCAAATTTTCAGGGGGAAAAAAAAAATCCACAAAAAAAGAAAGGTGGGTGCTTTTGCTCAGACAAGAGAAGAACACAAGACAAGGAAATCCACTGCACTGCAATTAAATGCAAAGTTCCTTAACATCTTGAATATGCAGACACTTTTTCTCTTCCCTGGATACACCCAGACCACAGAGATAAACAAGGAGACATTTGGAGAAGGCTGGAACAAGGATTTTTCAAATAACTTCTCTTTGACCAACAGGACTACAGATTTAAAAAAAAAAGAAAAAGAAGAAAAAAAGGTTTTTAAAGGCACATGAGGCAGTTATGTTCAAAAACAGTTATACAACAGAACAACAACGTGTCCTAAGATATGCAGAACTTCTGTAGGTCTTGAGAGGATCCCAGGAAAACAGCCCTGAGTGCTGCGTGTTTTCTCAAGGATTTTTACTGGCATCCCCTGTCCTGAACCATGAGAAGTGGCATCTTCACAGCTAAGCAATGTTCTCCAGTTCCTCCACAATGACACAGGTTCTGTTCTACCCAGCATCTCCATTTCCCTCAGGCAACACTCCCCACCACTCAAGCTTACCCTCCCCATCACACAGGCCCAGGCCCTACTCCCTCAGTACAGAGGATCACTGACAACATACCAAACATTGCTCAACCGAAATAACATCTCCTCATCTATAAACCCTGCTCTGCATGTGATCCAGGCCTTTGCACCTCCTCTACCTGCCCTCACGATTGGCACAAAGAACATATGGAGTTCAGAAAAG